TTCCTCCCGGCTGGCCTCCCCCTCCGCTGGGGTCGCCCGCAAGCAAGCCCACGCCGCACTCCACGCCGCGCGCCCGGCGTCGGACACGAGCGCGGCCGCTGCCCGCGGGGCTCTCCGCCGGGCCGCCGCGCGCGCACCGCCAAGCCCGCGCGCCGGGGTGCGCGCGCCGCCCGGGGCCGCCCTCGGGCCGCTCCCAGGCCCGCCGGGACGCGCGCGCGCGCGCCCGGCCCCGGGCGTCTCGGCGAGGCACGCGCGCCCCGCTCGGCAGCTGCGGCGGCGGCGGGGCTAGGCGCTCGCGTCAGGGCTGGGGAGGAGGGGGTTCGCAGCTCAGGGAGGGAGAGACATGAGGCAGCCTGGCAGGATGCGAGAAAGAGTTCGGCGGAGGAGGAGTGAGTTTTAGAGACGCCCGGCGAGCAGGACGAGCGCCCTCCGAGGAGCGTGGCCGACCGGGCTCCTTCGCCTCCTGCGCGCTCTCCCGTGTCCGCTTTCAGCACCGCGAGCGGAGAACAGTTCCCGGCAGCCCGCTGCGCCGCGAGGGGCCGCCCGCGGCCGGGGTGCCTGGACCTCCGAGGGCCTCGGGGCCGCCCTCCGAGAATCCGGGGTGCACGCCACCCTCGCGCCTCTTTGGGTGTGCGAGCAAACACCGGGGAAAAGCATCCGGCGGCCTCGGGGAGCCCTGAAGAAGCCGAAGCAGAATGTACCAGGGACACATGCAGGTGAGACGTCTCTAGGGGGCTGGAAAGAAATCTGGGGGGGCTCATTGAAGAGCAAGGCGGTTCACCAAGTTACTGTGGCCAAGGGCTGCCTTCACACAACTCAACAAGTGACGTGGGGCAACATGACCGTGACATTTCTGCCCGGTGCTGCCGCGAACACTAGCCGGGCTTCCAAGGGTGGGAGAAGGGGAGGAAAGACCTGGGAACTTCGACCGGGGAAGTTTGTTGTCTGTGCATTCCCTGAGCCTGTTTCTTTAAACAGGATCAAGGAATCCAGACAGAGGAAAGCCTGGAGATGACCGTGTTTCCGTTGTAATCCTATTGATGCATCTCGGCACGTATGTCAGCTGAAGGGCAAACAATAACAGGAAAGGCAAAGCTTTTTCCTCCACCTTTCTGTGAAGGTTGCTTGACCCTTAGAACACTTTGCCACTTCCGTTTTGTTTTTTTAAGTGTCATTTTTCCAAAAATGGTTTCTGCTGTATTTCCCCCCCCCCCCCCCCCCCCCCCCCCCCTTCACGTGATGGGACATTGCCACCTATCCCAATAGTCCCAGGATGACTTGGGAGGATGAATTTCAAACACATGTCCGAGAAGCTCGGATTTTTTTCAGGGGAAGTGCTGCCTCCGGTTGTTAGTAATGTTCATCTGAGCTGAGCCGCTGCTTCTTTCCGATGCAAACGCTCTACTCTCTTGGGCGAGATTACTGTAACCTTGACTCCAGTTCTCATTCATATGGTTGGTCCTTCCTTATAAAGACAGATGCGTGCTTTGAGGGGAAAAAATTAAAAACTAACTCAGTTTCCTAAAGTATGAACCGGGCTCGTTTTGTTGTCCCTAAATGCTGTAGTCATCGGGTTTGATGTTGGGCTTCCTTTCCATTCCAAAGATGGTCAAATACAATCGTCCTGGTGTCTTTATCTTGGTGTGTAACATGTGTGAATCCTGAGGGTAGCTTCTGTGTCTTTTAGAGCAATCAGAAATAGATAAATATGTTGTTGCCTTCGTAATTCAGTATCACCCAACATTTAATTTCCAGGTCTTAGGGAAATTCTTTTGAACTATAATTTACTTTTTATATAAAGCACAGTATTGTATCATATTTCTAAATTTTGTAAGAATTCTCAATAGGCGCTACTAGAATTCCAAAAGATCTCTCATATTATTAATAGCATACTGTTTTGAAAAATACTAATGGAGTTATATGACATTTGATAGACAATTAGTGACTGAGGTATATTTTAAAATATATAATAAATGTGATCTGCATGTTTCTTATAAAAGCTACACTAGTTGAAAAGTTTACTGACAGAGGAACATTCAAACAATAACTGCTGACAAAATTAACAAAGAATTATTAGTTTTATGCTTCATCTTCACCCAAGAATGAGACTTAAAATTTTATACATTACGTGTTTAGTATCTCTAAACAGTTTTTCATAGGGGTAAAATATGAAGATTTTAATCAATAGAGTCAATCATAAGAAAATTGCTCATTCACACAAAATTCTCAATTGACTACTTAAAGTAACTAAAAAAACTTTCCACAGGTTAGTTTTTCTAATGTGATACTAAGAATGAAGAATTGAAGCAACAATCTGGTAAATTTGTGCACCTAAAACAATTTTAATTTGATTTTCTGAATGTTTCAAAGAAGGATGCTATTAAAACATGAATTGCTCAGAACAATGTCTGGGTGTTTAATTTCATTTTGAACAAATATACAAAATATAAGACTCTGCATATCCTCCTAAGCAGTTCTTTGCTTGTGCACTGCTGTAACAGCAAATATGATGGCTTGCAGTAACTCACAAATCTTTGCTGCCAAGCCTAACTTGAAAACACTACTAAATAAGGATTGTAATCAATATGCTGCCCCCCCCAAAAAAAACCGAGGCACAATGCTTTTTTCCTATTTACTATTAACCATTAATGTTGAACACAAAACTTCCAAGGCTTTCGTAGGTATATTTAGTAGCTATTCAATAGGTCTTCTAAACAGGAATCTCCTCTCCCCCCAAAAATGCCTATTACAACTTAATTTATAATATACTTGCTTGCTTACATGTTTTAATTCCAGTTTCTTCCCCCAAAGAATATTACATGGCCTATAGACAAAATTTCTATTGTGTTGGTATATTTAAAGGACGTTTCCTTATCAGAGATAGTATCATCCTCCTGTGTATACCTGACTTTAATCACAGACAAGAAGAAACATAGTCCAAACCCTCTAAAATGTTTGTGATTAAAAATCTGAATCCATATTTGGTAAAGTGGACCAGGGATGAGCCAGATTTATTAAAATTTCTGCCAACTTTGAAATGTATTTGAAACACTGGTGTTACTTGGCTGATACCTTAAAACAGGAGTTAGGTAGAAATGTTTGCCGTCATTTGCTATGCCTTCTAATTCTTTTCTTTTCTGTGGCCAAGAGGTTTTAAAATAAAGAGCTTTGTAAATAAGCGATTTGGAGTAGGGGCAGGTGATCACATGAAGCCTTTTAAAAGATTCTCATTTAAAACTCCTGTGGTGTCTTTGTTTTTGCAACTTAATGATTTTGCATATAAAGTCTATTAATTCTTATACATATGCTTAATTCATCTGGTTTATGGTAGAACCTGAATTCATTTTAGAAGGCACAGATTTTTAAAAACATACATTTGATTTGCTCTGCTGGTTCATTAGAAGACAAAAAGTGACACCTACTACAGATAGAGCACACAGTAATGTATATTTCTTGGTTGCATAGTAGGTGCCACAGGTATATATTTCTTAGGAGCAAGGACCTGGAGTTGCTTTGTTTTCCAACTGCCTCGCCTATAATTTCCAAGGGGAATTAATTACCCCAGTAACTGAAGCAAAGGTTGTTTTTTTGGTCACTGTTTTAGAATTATTTCTTTTTCCCTTTTGACCAAAAGGGCCTATGATAATTAAATATACTTTAGCATTAGGTCTGACAAAACTCTCTACTGCTCTTAAATGACCTAAGGTCTTAATTTCACCAATACCTCTGTATATGCAAAACTGAGGTGCTCATTTGCATATGTGCATACGAGTTAACACTTGCAGTTAGAGCAAAATTATTACATGTCTAAACTTTTTTAACCAAACTTGGTTTTTTGGGTGGTAAAGACAGCAATATAATTTCAATTTTGAACTTAATTTTTTATTGTTATTGAAGAATCCACAGTTATGGTTTTTTGTTGTTGTTGTTATAAAAGAAAGTTATTTTAGAATGCAATCAAAAACACTATTTGCAATTGTAACTGATCTTTATTATGGGCATTTAAAACAGACTTTTAAAAAATGTATTCAAGCTGTCTGAGGAATTATTCCACATACTCTAGCTTCACCAGGCACAAAACTGAAGAAAATTTAAATAATAAAAATTATATGATTATTAGCTCTAAAAGTAGCCATTTGTTTGTCCCCATGGGGGGGTGGTTGCATTTGTTTTTATCTGTGACTTTACTTAAACTTCTTATTAAAAATTTCACAAAGAGGAACAGCTTAGGTAATATAAATTATGTTAATACACATTAGATCTGTCCACTGGGGCTGTGTTGAGTGTCACTAGAAACAATGCACAAGAGAAATCATTCCAAGATAAGATTGTAGAATGCTGTTGTCAACACCCTAAACAGCAGCTTATCATAATTGAGACCCTCATCAAAACTGTCAAGCAGATGATATTTATCATAAGTACTTCTGCCTCTCTAACAGATCCACTTTCCCCTCAACACCAACCTTTTCTATCCTTTGTTATTTCTTTATTAACCCTTTGCTAAGGCATTAACTGCTAACAAAGGTATAACTAATACCAATGTGCACACCACACACACACATACACATACACACACACACACACACACACACACACACACACACACACACACACACACACCCTACAATGGTATTTGCACATTAAGAGGTAAATCTTTGAGATGAGTTTGGAGTGAAGGAGTGGCATTTTGGGGAGAATGAACAGTGCTGGGGTTTGTTGTGTCATTTTGGCCAGTGGTAGCTGCTGCCTTCCCTACTTCCCTCAGTTCAAATGGCACCTGCCTTCCTCCTCAAAAGTCTTCCTGTGAGCCATGATGTGCATTATTATAATGAATTTATTGTTTGAAACATTAACTAGAACTTTACTGAAGAAAGTTCATGTACATTTAAACTGATGTTCAACATTACAATGCAAACTCAAGTAAGATTCTGCAGTGCCTTCCTATAGACTAACATGAAAATCATGTTTAATATGGATGTAATGTTGAGCTTTTAACACTTAAAAATTTTAATGGTTATGGTATAATATTGCAGAATATTTGATTAAACTGAAAATCTTATTCCTTAGCCATACCAGCCAACGGTTTATATGCTTGCTATGTGAAGCACAATATGGTCTTTGTAGATTTTATTTATGGCTTATAAACATTCTTTCTAAAAACATGTTTGGAAGTAAAAATTCCAACATATAAATGTTTTGACTATCAAGCATCTTTTAAAGTAAAGAAGAAAAAAAGGTTAAAACAGAACTTGTTAATTTTTAAATTTTGAATCTTTAGTATTACCACTGCCAGCCCTGGAAACATTAAGATGTGATGCGCCATGTAGTCAAAACATCTGGCAGCTTGCTTTTTTACACTTTACATTGAGATCACATGTTTCCAACACAAACTAAAGCTGTTAAAAGGGTTTGTGTTTTAGAATTACCTTCTAGATACATTTATAGAATAACCAGTGTGCATTTCTTACACTAAATCTAAAGGTAAACCCCAGCCTAGTGTTTCCTTATTAAGAGGCCTAAGTTCAATCTAAATGTTTGAGATGTCTAAAAAATGCTGATGGAGAAAATAGGTTGCCAAGTTTTTGAAGCATTTATTAACTTTTCATAATTCAGAATTTGTAAACATCAAAATCATCTTGAACTATAGCATATAATCCATGGATCAGGGAACAGCGCTATGAGGGTTACATTTTTTTCCATTTCTTCCTTTGCTGCC